CAGCCTGTCGGCCTGGGCGATGGCTGCGTAGCCGTCAGCAGGCCCGTTGGCCTCCTAGGACACAAACGTGGCAGTGCACCTGCCCATCACGTCCGGAGCCAGGCGCCAAGGCGCCCCTCACGCTGGACAACTCAGCGGCCCCCAGCACTCTGTCCTGCTGTCTGCGGAGACCGTCCGCTGTCTGGGGGGACCGTCCGCTGTCTGGGGAGACTCTGCCCACTGTCTGCAAAGATTTCTGTCTGAGCCTTTCGCTCGCTCGCTCTTTCTGCCAGCCTCACTCCTCCCCCTGTGTGACTCTGGGCAACTTACTTAACCTCTCTGTGCCTGATCATTGCCCCAGGCCCAGCCACACTCACACCCTACAAGCAGGAGACTTGAGAAAACATGTGCAAGTCACTGTCTTCATCATAAAATGGGCCAAGTAATAGTACCCCATGGAGTCGATGTGAAGACAAAGTTAGCTTCAAAACATGAAGGAGGAGACCACCTCCTGGCACGCTGACCCTGTGTTACTGTCACTACGGCCACTCCCTGTCACTGTGCTCCCTCGTAAGGCTTCTGCAGCCAGGAAGCCCCAGTGCCCAATGTGCTGCCTTGTCCGCCGTCTGTCCCCTCCATTAGAGGGCCACCTTTGTGCTGGCAGGGACCCTGTCTGTCTGTTCTCTGCTGTGACCCCGGAAGCGAGCACACAGCAGGTGTCGTCAGGTAGCTGTTGGTAACAGGGACAAGCAGCCCCGAGACAGGCGGGGAGGCCAGGGCTGTCCGTCTGTGGTGGTGAAGAACGTGCACCCTGCAGCCGGACTGTAGGCTCGGACCCCTCCTCTGACACTGTGGGAGGCATGCACGGCCTGACAAGCCGCTTCACCTTCCTGGCCTCTGCTTTCTCCTTCGAAAACACCAGGAATGGCACGAAGACCCGAGAGCTGCTGTGGGGGTTCCATGCGACCGCGTTGAGAGACGTCATGAGAGCGCCTGGCGTGCTGAGACAGCTCAGGGACAGGGGCCAGAGCTTCTCGAGTTGAGAGGCACCCTGTCCCTCAGGGGCCGGGATGAGGCCGTGGCAAAGGACACCAAGGACAGGGGCCATGGCATGAGGCCGTGGCAAAGCCAGGGCCAGAGTCCAGGCCACTGGCTCCCAGGCAGGAGCTCTGCCTGGTCTCCCTGCCATCTGCCAGAGCTGAGGCCCCAAAGCTTGGGGGGCACCAGTCAGGGGACAGCACCCTCCGGTCTGCCAAAGCCGGGGTCCTGTGGGACCAGCCCAGGCACCACCACACCCCTGGCACTGAGCAAGCCTCCGCATTCCTGTCTGACAGCCAGTGAGCTTTCGCGGCCACGCCTTTGTCTGCTGGCACTTGGCCCCTCGTCTCCACTCCCTCCTCTAGCTGGTAAAATCTCACTCCAGCCCACGAGTCTGCAGTGCCACAGTCAGCAGCTGTGGGATACTCTGCAGCCTCCGCGGCTGCCAAGCACTTTCCGCACCCTTCCCTCCCTGTGCCCTGTCACAGCCTACCCCAGGCCCAGGGCAGGAAGGACTGGATCTGTAGGCTGTGGCCCTCCACGCCCCCTCCATGCCCCTCCTCCTCCCTCGAGCCCTCAGTAAAGCTGCCATGTCACCTGTATGGGTAAGTGTCTTCCCACGGGACGTCTGATGTGCGCCCTATGCACCACTGTCCCCAGCACATAGTAGGTGCTCAGAAGCTGACTGGAATGGTGGAGCTCCCCGGAGCTAGCACGTGCCTGGTTCAGAGGAGGAGTTGGGTGAAGGTTGGCTGGAGGGGCTTTGGGCAGCCACAGACTGTACAGCTCCTGGCTGGGGAGCCGGCAATGGCAGGCAGGGCAGGGCAGGGCAGGGCAGCGCAGCCTGGCACCTCAGACCAGGTCCAGCCCCAGGTGGGGCAGAGGCCACTGCCCCACTCCTCATCCTGTAGTCACTCATTTGGAGGCTCCGGCCCACAGCTCCTTGAGCCTCCCAAGGGCTCTTACCTGGAGAACACAGTGGATGCCAATCACTGCCCAGCTCCCCCACCCAGGTCTGCAGGAGAGCTTCCCCACAGCCCCTGCCCAACCCACAGAGGTTCCCACCGCTCGCAGCCGGCAGTTCCTCTGCGCACGTGTGTTGACCCTGGTGGTCTGTTTTGTTTCCTCCACGACACTTACCCTTGTCCGACGGGACTCAATTCTTTCTGGGTTGACTGTCTCCCCTACTCCAAGAAAGTTACCCCCATGAGATCAGACAGGTTTGGAATAAAACCAAAACTAAGGCAAGGACATCTGTCTGACCGCCGCCCAATGGCCGCTCCCCTGGCAAGCGCACACCGGCCTCGCCCTACGCTGACCCATGTGGGTGTCCACGAGGTGTCTCGAGCGCCTCTCGATTTCTCACTCCCCGAGCTGCCCCCACCGCATCTTCCCCACCCTGGTAACAGCACTACAGCTACTCGGCTGCCGAGGCCCAACCTCATGCCTGTCCCTGCTTTCTCCTTCCTTCCTACCGTCATGCAACCTATCAGCAACTCCTGTCAGCATAATCTCTAAAACGTGTCTCCATCCGATCACTGCCCACCTCCCGCCTCCAGCCCCGCCACCTCCGGCCTGCACTGGGGCCTCCCTGCAGCCCCTTCTCCACACAATGCCAGAGTGACCTGTTTCCAGCTAAATCGGATTATATCACGTTGCGCTTAAAAACATCCGAAGGCTTCCTCTATGATTAGAAGGGGATTCCAGTGATCTGGTCTCCCCCTTCTCCTCTGATTTCTGTCCTTGGTCAGCATGCACTGACCATGCGAATGGAAGCTGGTCTGTGCCCTCGAGGCCACTCCTGGAACACCCTCTCCTAAACCCAGGGCCTGCGCCTTCCTGGGGCTCTCCTGTCTCTGCTCTCCTCAGAGGTGCCTTCCCTGAGTACCCGCCTCTGACAGCCTCCCTGCCACGGTCACCACCTCTCCAAGCTGTCACTCCATTTCCTTTCCGTCACCCGCTGGTCTCCAACAAGACTCGTTTGCGCGTGTGTTCACCATGGAGCTTGCCCCAGCCCCCAAGTCAGTCAGCTCCCTGGCCGGCCTGTCCCCACGGAGCATCCAGAGCAGAGGGGCCTGGCTGCATGGGTACGCGGTGCTCCCTGAGCGAATTCATGGATACTCAGGCTTGAGGACCTGGACACAGGACAGTACACCTTCCAGGGGCCTGGTAGGAGGAGGCCCTCATAAAGAGGACCACGGCTGGGGACACGAACCAGGTCAAATGCGGGACAAAGAGCGCCACTCTGACCCGGCCACGGCCATTACCGAGTGGAGCAGCAGGGGCTGCAGAAAGCACACTGCAGGCCAAGAGCTTGTGAGGACCTGAGGGCTGGGGGCTGATGCCTTTGGAACCGTGACCGACAGCGCCCACCACAGGTAGGAGGAGATGGGCCTCTGGTGGGGGGCTCTTTCCATGTGCGACCTGCAGGGCCCACCCTCTCCATAAAGCCTGCCCTAACTTCAACACTTCAGTGAGCTGCAATTAAACAGTTTTCTTTGATCTTTATGACTTAATGTGGAGGTTTCATTACCCTCATTTGGCAGGTGGGGGGACCTCTAGCTCCAAGTGCCAAGGTCCCCCAGCCAGGAAGTGGCAGAGCTGGGATTCAGACTGAAACTCAGCTGTGAACATCTCGCCATGTAGCAGCCGGGGGGACCAGCGGCACCTCTGTGTTACGTGATCTGTGTGCCTGGTTGTTGTCTCCCTTAGCTGCCTTTCCTAAGATTAGAGCCCAGGTCCCCTCCTCCCAGGGCCCTGTGCTCCAGGCCCCAGTCTCTCAAAAGACCACACGTACTACCTCTCAGCTCCCCTAGCAGCTGGGTCCAGAATTAACAGGACATTCCCAGGGCCACAGAGCACTTTTTCCAACCGCCCTGTAGGCGCACCCCAGGGCAGGGCCCCTAATCTCAGTCTTATAAATGTGAACCAGTAAGTCAGTTAAGTGACAGTCCAAGGTCTTTAGCTGGGAAAAGCCAGAAAGTGAAGCCCGACCTCGGTTGCAGGAAGTGGCGTGTCGCCTGGTGCAGCCTCTCTGTGTCCCGGAGCCCCGCCCAGAGCGTTCCACAGCACCTGCACTCCATCAGGAGGTGGCCGTGCCCGGCCCGGGGCGTGACGCTGCCTGGGCCCGCCTCCTCACCACTGCCCCCAGCAAGGAGGACCACTAATGCGCCCTGGCCACACAGCTCCCCGGGGCCAGCATGGCACAGAAATCTCAGATGTTAGCTCCTTTTCTTTTTTTAATTCACTAGAGGATGTGCACACGCGTGTGCAACAGAGAGAGTGAGAGCACACACCCCCATGGGGAATGGTCATTCTTCAATCCCTTTTCCATTTCTCCCTTTTGGGGGGATTTTGGGCATACACACACACACGTGTCCAGAATATTCTCGAAGCTCCCAAGTCCAAGACTCAAACAGCAGTTGACCACGTGGGATCCGGCCACCATAACTGCCACCGGCTGGCCCCACCGTTACCTCTCGCTCCTACCCTCAAGTACCAGCCTTGCCACACTGTGTGGCCGCCACTACTTCTTTCTGGGTCTCTCTCTGCTAGAAATGAGATCTTGGAGGACAAACGCCCCATAGATTTGCCTCTGTATTCACCACCCCAGCAAATATGTGACACTCCAGGAATGTAAGTTGTCTCAATGGAAAAACGAGGGGCCAGTCACAGCAGTGGGGGACACAGAGCCTCGGAAGCAGCCTCAGAGGGAGTGGGTCTGGGCGCCCCTCCGTCACTCTCTACGCGGTGACCTTTGGCAGGTCCCTTCCTTGAGCAGCGTGGATTTCACACCTGTTCCCCGAGAGTGATGACATCCCACCCCAGGTGCGCAGTGAGGACCACGTGAGAGAACTGCTGGGGAACACCTGCAGCCCATGAGTGCTCGGCGAGCGACGGCATCGCCACTGCTGCCACGGGGCAGGCCCACGCCGGCGCCATGGCCCAGGAAAGCACAACCGCAGGCGGTCCTGAGAAGCGGCAGCTGGCTCCTCTTCTCTGGCTGCCCCGCATTGATTTCCCTACTGCCTCTGATGGTGAGTGTGGAGGGCCAAACAGGGCTGGGGCTGTCCTTTAACCACAGGAGCGTCTCTGTGGGAGGTCAGCAGCCTGGGAGGGCTCACCCGTGGCTATGAGGAGGGCTCTGAGCCTCTCCCCAGCTCCAGGGAGCCAAGCGGTCAGGAACGGCCAGAGCCAGAAGGCCAGAGGTTACGGTCAGGGCTGGGCCTACCTCAGTCCAGCCCCCAGCACCACTCTCTTGAGGACCCTCTGCCAGGCACTGCCCTGACCACTCCTGCGGGCCACGGTAGCCGAGCATGTGTCGTGACTCCAAGGACAGGGACAGCCAGGAGGCCGAGGCGTATCTGTCTTTGGGACTGACCAGCTAAGTTGAGCTGAGCCAGGCTCTTGCTTTCTCTAAGTAGCTTAAAGGAGGAGAGAGAGAGCTGGGGGTCATGCAGAGGCCTTCCGTCCCGGCCCCGGCAGTGCCAAGTGGTATGGGCAGCTCATCCCAAGGTTGTGCCGTGGATCAGGTTTGCACCTGGGCCTCTGGTAACACACAGACTGCCAGGGAGGAGTCAGAAAAGGAGCGCAAAAACTCTGCTCAGGACCCCTGAAGGCACTGGGCCTGCGCAGGCCAAGGCATTTCCTTCTCCTGCAGGGGCAGGCCAGGCCGCGCTAAGCTCAGTTCTAAAGAGAGGTTGCCAGGGCTGTCCACCTGCGAGCCAGCCAGCCGCTGCTGAGGCCGCCAGTTCCCACACCACAGGGCGGGAGAGCGCACTGACGTGAGAGGGGTAGGTGAGCCAGATCTTTGCCACCACGCTTCAGAGTGGCTCACCAAGCTTTGGAGTGCTCCCTGCCCTGCCTGCGCGGATCCTAGGACCAGACAGGAGATCATTTACACATGAAAGCAGCTGGGGTGGTTATCAGGGACTCCAGAGCTCTGGCTCCCGGTTCCCACTGAAGTTAGAAGGAGCCCCAGGGTTCCTCAAGTCCACAAAATCCAGAGCAGAGCTGGGGCGAGGAGGGAGAAGGCAGGGGTCCCAGATCAACCAGACAGGAAAACTCTAGGACTGACCAGTCTCCGAAAGTCCCGACACCTCTCAGAGCCTCAGGTTTCTAGCCCACAGAAGAGAGTTATCCAGCTCATGGTGCTCCCAGCACTTCTGCTGTCCCAGGTTTTCTCTAGTTCCAGGTCGGCTTTAGGACATAGAACCTCCGGGTCAAGCCCTTTGGGGCGTCCCAGGGCCTGGGCAGCCTACATTGCGATGATCTGCCAAGTGAACAGAGGTGCCTGCGGGTTCTCCGGGCCTCTCAGACCCAACCAGCCAGCAGCAGCTGAAGTCCTAGAGACCGACTTCCCTCGCTTGCTGATAGTTGAGTAATTTTCCAGAAACAGGACTTGGCCAGTTTCCCTGTGTAAGGTACCGGCCCATCCCGCTTACATAAGAAAGTATTGTTTGCCCCCAGAGGACCCAGGAGGCCGGAGCTTCCCAGAGAGCGGGGCTTTCAAGACCCAGCATCTGCAGCCTCAGGGACCGAGGGTCTTCATACTAACCCAAGCGGGAACTAAGGCTCCCGGGATGGTTCGTCAGCACCCTAGCATGTGGGGTGTGGGCCAGAACTGATATCTGTGGGTCCTGGGGTGCCTTCGTGGTGTGTGCCCTCTTATCTAAGCACTCTTAACCTGACCTGTGTGTGAGAGGGTGAGGGATGAGGTCGGTGCAGAGAGAAGCAGCCTCTAGCCAGAAGTATCCTCACTAGCCCTCCTCAACATGTGCAGTTTTTGTGGTATAGGATCAAAGAATTTTAAAACAATCCAGTGAATGGGACCAGCAGGTGGCGTGGAGGTTAAGGTGCTGGACACTCCCACGTGGCCAACTGTGGTTCGAGTCCTGGGCCTGGTGGCTTGCTTTCTCACTTGCCCTCTTTCTCTCTCTGTGTCTCTCTCTGGTCAAATTAAAATAAATAAATGAATAAATGAAATTAAATAAATAAATAATTTTTTTTTAAATCCAGTGAAAACAAAAGCCCTTTTTAAAAATTCTCACCCAACTCTCTCCCTCGCAGCTAACCATTGTTAACAGGGCACATCCTTTCGGGTTTTTTTTAAGGTTTTTGCCATAGAGCAAGGGTGTTCGGCAGAGAAAGAGAGAAACAGTGAGAGGGAGGGTGAATTGCCCCAGCCCCTCCTCCTACCTCTCCTGGGATTTCGTGCACACACAACAATGTCCAGTGTGATTTTTAAGCCACCGGATCCAGGGCTCAAACCATAGTTGGCCACGTGGGAATCCAGCACCTTAACTGCCACGCCACCTGCCGGGCCCCCTTTTAGATGTTTTGTACAAACATTTTCAAAATAAAAACAGCCCCTAGGTTGTATATTATTCTGCAAGCTGCTTTTCCCACCCGCTGTGTCGCGGGCACCTTTCATACCAACACGGGAGCTCTGGTCACCCTTCAGCAACTGCACGACTTCCCAGGCTACCTACGCAGCCCCCTGACGCTGGTACTCAGGTCTTTTCCAATTGGCCTGCTATTGTAAATATTCCCGCAAAGAACCTGGGAGCCCTTGTCCAGTTATTTCCTTAGGAGAAATTCCCAGAAGTGGAAATCTTTGGGTCAAAGGGCAGCTTGAAGCCTTCATATGTGTTGGAGACGACCATGTGTCTAAACCTCTCCAGGGGCACGCTGCTGTGCGGGGACCTGTGTTTCTCAATTCAGGCCACTTCACCTTCTAGCGCCGGACACGGTCAGCTCAGGTGATTCCCATCCATCCCTGCCCCGAGTGCTCCTCATTCCCTGCCCCTCCATGCCAAGAAAATATGTCAGAGCCTTTCCCTGTGTTCAACCCCGGTGCAGTGGACCTGAACAGAAGACCTCAGAGCCCTAAGCCTACAGCAGGGGCCATAGCTACCGAGTCCTGGGCTGTCAGTCCCCACGCGCTGACACAGTCTTTCCCACCTGAAACACGTCTCCGTTGACCGTGGTCCCCATGTCCTCAGAGCCAGCTAGAGGGAGAACAAGGAAAGAGCATTACTCGCTGTTCAGCTCATAGCAAGCGCCGAATGGCCCCACACCAACCCCAAGTCGACCTCCGCATCGCTCACAGTACACTGACACTCCCCCACACAGACCCGGTGGACAGGTGAGAGGTATCTTGGACTCAGGCCTTGACTATTCACAAAGCCTCTCACGGCCATGCTCACATTTGATTCTCACCAGAGCCCTGGAATAAAGTGATGAGTCCATTTTACAGATCCTCAAACTGAGGCTCAAAGAGGTTATGTGATTGCCCAAGATCAGCAGCTGGGGGCAGCCCTTCACCTACCGGAAACTAACTGACCACGGCCGCAGCTGGGATGGTCTGGTTGTCTGTGGAGCCTGTACCTGGCGACTAGGCAGAGGTGCTGTAGGCTCCGGGCGGGGTGAGGACGACAGGGGCCTACGCGTCCCTGCCTGTCCCTGTGCCGCCTTGAGCAACCGCTCCAC